TTTCTTTGTCTTTACTCTGTTCACAGTCTCATAACTCACCTTAGAATTGTAAGCATAAACACGTAAATGTTGAGTCTATATTAATGGGTAGATGATATCAATATATTCTGAAAAAGTATTAATCATGATAATAATGAAATTTTGTTATTTGTGGATATTTAGCATGACTGTAGACCATAAATTGAGTCTAAAAGGTGATTCGGTGAACAACTCTTGATTGTATTGTGTTCTCTGAGGAGCTGGGTTGTTTCATTGTGAAGCTTTCATAGTCCTTCTAGACAGCGACATCAGCAGCACTAACTTCAGTATGACCTGTCAATATCTCTCCATTAGTGAGTGCTTTAGTAGCTTGCCTTGACGATGTGGTCTGTGATTGGCTGTTTCCTTCGATTTTTGTGCCATTGACTGACTGAAAGGATTTTCCTGTTGGCTTTTCCTCTGCTTCACCTCTCACCTTTCTGTCGTTTATCATCTTTCTTATTAGTTAATAACTTGGGTCTATGTCTATACATGTGTTGATTGCTAACTGTCTCACTGACTGACTGACTGACTGACTGACCTGAATGCCAAGACTCTAGGAATTCCCTGATATTCTTTGTGTTTCCTCTCTCCATCCAAGATTTCTACATTGTCGAAATTCAATTCATCTCCATAGTTGTTATCCACGTGCATTGAAATAAGCAGTGATGACATGTCGTGGCGTTTAATAGCCGATTGGCGATCATGTAAACGAAGGCAAAGAGGGCGGCCACTTTATCTAATGTAGTGTTGACTACAGTTATTCCAGTTGATTTTTTAAATGATGTTCAGCTTGTCTTCTTTAGTTGTCGCATCCTTTGGTCTGCATAATAATGTTTGCAGGGTATTTGTTGTTTCATGAGCCAGCTACACCAATTTCAAGTGGTCTCAGTAATCTTGTTGTGATTTCTGATTCATCTTCTTTATGTATGGTAGGATGATGCGTTTATTGATTTGTGTGGATGACTTTGTAGTTGGTGATGTATGGGATAGGCATATTATCCTAAAGTTTCGAGTGTAGCTGTTCTTCTTTAGGATGGACACCAAGTAATTTCCTTCATTTCTCTGTGAAGTTGTAATGCTGCAGTGTGTTCTCACTCTTCTGAATAGAGTCTGCACACAACTGATCTTGTGGTTATTGGGTTGTTTCTACTGTAGTTGAGGACTTGGTCAGTGTGTGTTGGCTTCCTGTACATTTGGGTTTCCAGATTCCGCGTATTTGTTCTATTGACCAGAACATCCAGGAATGATAGTTGATTGTTTGACTCTTTCTACATTGTGAATTTGATGTCACTGAAAACGTTATTGACCAAATTGTGAGTGTTTTCTATGTCATCTTTTTTAATGATGACAAAAGTGTCATTTACATAGCGAATTTAGAATTTCAGTTTGATCACATGTAGGATGATGGCTTCGAGTCTCTGGATCACTGCTTCTGCCATTTGTCTGGATATTGGTGATCCCATTAGAGTTCCTTTCATCTGTTTGTATATCTTGCCGTTGAATTGGAAGTATGTTGTGAGACAAAGGTCGATGAGTTCCATCAGACTTGAACATTTGAGTTTTGTGAGCTCTGTAAGGCTTGTGTCTTCATTGATCAAGAGGGATATGGTTTCCTTGGCCAGTTGAGGTTCGATGGATGTGTATAGTGCTGTGACACCGAAGGATATCACTAACTCGTTGTTTTCTATGTTTATACTTTTGATCTTTTCTAATAATTCCGTTGGTGATTTGATGGAATGTTCGCATGATTGAACGAGGTGTTTCAGTTTTCACGAAAGTTCTCTTAATATGTTGTATGTTGAAGTTCCTGAAAGTGAGACAGTCAGTCGTAGAGGGATGTCTGGTTTGTGTATCTTTGGTCTGCAATCGTCTAGAAGGACGATGAAAGCTCCACGAATAAACACCTCAGCTCAGAGAACACAATACAACCAAAACCATCCACCTGAGCTACAAATGTTCTCCACTATTTCAGAGGAGAACTCCTGAGTTGAACGCCCCTGTGACCCCACTAGAGATCGAATCCTCATGCTCAGTGGTTAGTAATATACTTACCGGTAAACCTGAAGGACCTGAGTTCGATGCATTGTAGCATTATGGATGTACACTGCTGAAGACTGCCATACTCATGCGAAACTTCTTCTCAATGCTCACAGGTTTTCAGTGACTTTCAAACTGAAATCAACAAATCACTTCAAATTGAATTATCCTGTAAATAATATTATTTATTTATTTGGTCCAGTCATTCCAGCCTATTATGGTATCCAATTTTGACTCTTCCATTAATCCCAATCAAGGTTTGAAAATAAACGAAAGAGATTTCAATTAATTAATTACAGGTAGGGGGGTAATAATTTACTCTTCAGGGTTTATCTAGTTACCTAGGAGTGTAGACAAGAAATAGTTATGGTAACGAAACTTGCTAACACAAAATTTAAGGTCTTCCGAACGTCTCAATTAAGAATTTGGTCACTAATATGAGAGTAAAACTTGAGCAGTGTAGAAGATTGTTATTCCATTTTAGTCTCTGTCTCTCTCTCCACCCAACTAAGTTAGTTTTTAACGCTGTCACTCTATCCAACCCTAATTAGATTTAAAATCATCTCACTGCATCTCCGTTAGAATAGGCTTAGTTAAATCCTTAAGCATTAGGGAAAACATGTTTACCAGAAGGATAGAAAATCTATGACAAGAAACTAGACACAAAAATACCTCGTGTCTCAATATTTACCCACCAAAATTCATAAATAAATTCATAAGGAGTCGAAAGAAAAATGTTAGCAGTAGTGGTAGTATTAGTAATACAGGTGTTATTAATTATAATCCCACTACTAATAGTAATAATGGTGACAAGGTTGACAGAGAATTCAAAGCCACTGCTGTGTTATCAAACAAGGAAGGCGCCACAGAAGCATTACGAAGAATTCTCAATAAGTCTAGCCGGGATTACAGAGGCAATTTAAACCAACAAAATCGCTCAGAAACAAGATTGTGTTGATGCAATTGAGTAAAACAATTTGGTTTGCTAAATCTCTTACAACGATTGCAGGAGTAAATGTGTAGGTCAGAGTAGTCGACCACGGTTGATTAGAATTAATAGAGTACAAAAGATTAGCCTAACCAAGATTAATATATCCCAATGAGATCAGGAAACCACGCCTAGGTAACTAGTTCACTAGTTACTAGCCGGTCCTAAGCCTGGATAAAGAGGGAAGGTTGGGCATAGGGATAGCAACCCTACCCCGTAAAACAAATCTAACCGCTAAACAAACTTCAAAGCACAAACGAAATATAAAAAATAAAAACAAAATTATTCCTCACTGGAATCGGAGATGCGAAATAACGTCGGTTGGTGAAAGCCTGCCTTCGGGAATCCAGTTGGCCGATGTATCTTCTCTCGATGAAAGCGAAAGTAAACGTGGGGACATGGAATGTCCGCACCATGTATGAACCTAGCAAGGTTGCCCAGATTGACAAAGAGATGAGTATGCGAAAGCAGATGGAATGGAAGTGGACTCTTCAAACTGTCAACTGGAGAGGAGTCGATCATCTGCCCAGACGACAACCACGAGCACACTCACGGAGTGGCTATCATGATGTCCCCGACAGCATCGAGGGCTCTCTCTCATGCAGTGGGAACCAATCTCCTTCGGGATCATAACAGCAAGGTTCAACTCAAAAGGAAGGAAAGTCACAATCAACAATGTTACACTACGCACCTACAAATAATGCAGAGCAAGAGAAAAAGGAGGAATTCTACAGACAACTGCATTCAACACTGGACAAGACCTCAGTTGGTGACATCAAAATTCTAATGGGTGGAGTGGCATGAATGTCAAACTGGGAGTAGACAACACAGGAAGAGAACTTATCATCATGGATCGAGAAGCGTTCCGTGAAATGAATGAGAATGGAGAACTGTTTGCAAACTTTTGCGCACTCAACGATTTGGTGATTGGAGGCACTGTGTTCAAGCACAAGGATATTCACAAAGCGAAATAGATTTCACCAGATGGTCACACTACACTAAAAATCGGATCGATTTCATTTCAATGTGAAGAAAGTGGAGACGCAGCCTACTAAATACAAGACCAGATGAAGAAGGGGAGCAGATGTTGGTGCTTCAGACCACTCACTATCTAATGAAAGGAACCTTCAAAATCAAGTTGGAAACTTTCAAAGAGGTTGCTGACAGACGGCCACAGTTCAAGTTCAACACCCACCCAGAACAGAAAGTGAAGGACGAAACTACAAAGGACATCTTCACGTCAGCCAGTCATCAGAAGAAAATGTAAGATATTGAGCAAATCCTTGAAGAAACCTGCGCGGAAGAACACTGGAACTCTTTGAAGGAGGAGAAAGAAGATAAGGAATGAATCTCAACGGACACATTGAAGCTGATAGAGGAGGAAGAAGAAGATGGAGATGGTGAAGCAGAAGGCGAACCAGTGCAAGGATTAACAACGAAAACAGGAAGTGAGTACAACCTATAAGACACTACACTGGACAAAGAAGGAAGAAGATTGTGCAGAAAGACAAAAGACACTTCCACGACACACTGACAAGCGAAGCAGAACAGGCTGTTGATATCAGATACAGAAACCCGACAACATTATATCAAATAACCAGGTTACTAACTATCTGGGAGGGAAGAGATCAACGCAGACGAAGCCAATAAACGAAAGTTTAGGAAACCTAGTTACCAAAAAGGAGAAACAATGGGTTGACCACTTCACAAAAAACTCTAGAATCGACCACCACCAGAAATAATATCAGAAGCCCAACCATAGAACTATTAGTGAACACAAGCTCTCCGACAAAAGCAACAGTGAAGTCCTGAACACCAGGTATACATATTAAATATCCAATCCATCTAAAATCAGTGAAAGTTCACAACTCCATTAATCAATTTATCTATTTTGTCTTGTATTCTTAGCTTGATCTCTACATTCTTAACATGATTATTCTAGCTATACACTAGTTTAACTTACAATAGGTTGTGGTAATTGAATTGAATTCAAATCTATAGTATTGTACTCATTTTGTTGATTAAAGTTATCGATGATTATGTTCGACTGAGAAAGTATTTCTCGTGCTTCATTTGTTGACATCAATTCCATGCTGATATCAGGTGTTGCTGATTTAGATCGTAATCTCTTTATGCTCTGACTATTCTTATACGATTGTTCATAATTATAATCAGGTAAATCATAAATTTGTTCCAGTTGTTTATCTTCATTGGTATTATTATATTGAGTATTAAAATCATAGTTAAATATTTCATTTTTTTTGTTTTCTTCAATTCAATTGGTCTTACAGGTTTATACTTTAAATTTAAGCTGATAAATGTGTCTTTTGAAGATTTTTGGTAGATTTTTAGACTATTTAATTGATTTCTTTTCAAAGTATGAATTTGTTTTAAGAGATTACATTTAAATTGATTCACATTTTGTGGAGATTGAAAGTAACAATAGTGTTGTGTTGGATACCTTGAACAATTCTTTAATCTATTATCATCTATTGTCTGATGAATTGAATTCTTTGTATTAGGTAATTTATCGTTGATTTTTCTATTATATAATTTAGTGTATAATAATAATTTACTACTATCAATCAATTGTTGTTTTATAGTAGTATTTAACTTTCAAATTCCATTTGTTTTAATGCCTTGGTAACTGTAAATGATGATTTAGGACGTTTTCAACTCTATAAAAAGATAGATAAACAAGTAAACAAGCTAATTAACAGGTTAACTTATAGCGAATTTACAAATATGTGGTTCATGTGATAAAATATGCTCAGATATAGAATCGCTTACCTAGGGAAATATGAGAATCAAACATTTTGACTAGGTTTATACGATAGCTTAACTCTACACTACAGGATAACACCATAAAAACGCACCATTAATACTGTTACTAGAACTACAGACATATTAGAACTTTTCAATATATATATAAACAATTTACAACCTTAAAGGCACAGAGGCTACGCCTGCTTTTGTTGTTTTTCTACCAAAATTTCAGATGGTTGCATTATGAAGATATCATTAGACCATGATGAAAACTTACCGAATAATTTGGAAATCTGAATGTTACACGATCGAAGGGTTTAACTTGAATCCTCGAATACCGACATCATCAAGATAACCTTCAATGATGACAACAGGACATAAATGAGGAATATACGTTACCAATTCTAAACATTCCACTTCTTTTTGAAGCAATGAAACTATGCTCCCACAAAAACTACTGTCTAATAATCAAGAATTACCAATCAATCAATATCAACATAGGACAAGGCATTACTGCGTAACGGTCCGAGTTGCTACACCTCATATCAGTACATCAAGTAGAAAGGTAGTGAGATGAAAGATGAAGATAAGAGAATGCAGTCAAAAGAAATATAAAGTACGAGAAGAAAGGAAAGAGGAGTGACAAAATGGTGAGATTTGAGATAGCGTTGTTAAGATGAGGATAATATGTGTATATATCTGCGCCACTGACATCGATTCTAAGCCATATCACCTAGAGTCTCTAACCACTGGTTTCTCTTGTCCCACGGACCCCAACCACTTAGTCTGCATCGCCCTACATGGCTTAAACCAACAGTCAGAGACTTCAGACATTGATGCCATGTTTTAGTCTGTCCAAGTCGGGCCTTTTTCCAGCCTGGACCTACTTCGAATTACCAATACCATTCACTCATTTCACCCTCTCACCATATGAACATATATCAATCTCCGAGTTAGTCAGATTTCTGGACTGTTATAATGGTAACGAAAATCTGGACAGACAGTAAAATCCAGGAGATCAACTCACCTATTAACTTTCAAGTGAACATATTCACAATAATGAGCTGAAACAAACTTCTCTAGTACTTCATCTAACAGTGAATATACGTCCTTGACAATGCTGCATACCTTTACGTGAACAGTATGAAAAACGCATCGCTATTAGTACGCAGTTTTTTCAAATGTTCATTCCTTTACACCACAATATCTAATTCTGATGGCATAAATCTATATTGCTGTGAATGACAACACTTCAATAGATATTCACTTGGATTACGTGATTATGTAGAAACTTACAGGTTCTCAACATCGTGAGTATGGGTTCTTCTGGTACTCGAAGCTATAAGCATAAGAATTTACGGTAAAATAGACATTTATATAGCGTAACGGGGCATCGCGAAGACGAATCAAACATGTCGACTGACCTCCCTTCCATATCATTCAAGTCCCGTACAATCTTGGACATTTTCCAAAATATATCAACGTGATGATGCCTGTGAACTGGCTTCTCTCATGTTAAATTACTAATATGAGAATAAAATACTTATTTATTTATAAGTTCCATTATAATACTACAATGAAGGTAATTCATAATGTAAGAGTAAAACTTAGGTACTATATAATCCCATTTTATTCATTTCACGTTGATATTTATCATCGGCGGACACCAGTTAGAGAAACATTTGCCACTTGGAAGTACTGGATACCTATTTCGTTCTAGTATGGGACTCTTTAGCAGTGCGCCCCAATGATCCCACCAGGACTCGAACCTAATGTCCACTGATGACTAGCTTTAAGAGTTGATCCCTGAAGTCCCAATAAGAAGTAGTGACCAGTGGTGTAAACCTGGTGAACGTGACGACAAATACTCAACGATGATGCTTGCCACAGAAGCTGAAGATGAAGGATTCCATCCCTGGTGGGGCGTAGTGATGGATACATACTGCTCAGGAGTCCCAAACTAGGACGAAACAGCTGTCCAGTACTCCCAGGTTTACAGTGTTCCTCCAACTGATTTCACTCTTTGATGAATACCAACTTGAAAAAACATCTTGATGTGACTATAGACAATAAATTGTTCCTGAAACGTTATCTAGTAAATAATACTGTCCCTTCATCATATGATAATGCTTAAAATTATGCTCTCTGCATTTCTGCTACTCCTGGCTAACATTATTTGAAGGAGTAAAACTTGTGCACTGTGGTAGAATGTAATTCCATTTTTATTGACTTATTAGATTCATCACATACTGTAGGACAGTATTCTTTACTGGATTAAGTTCCGGACATCATTTATTATGCATAGTCATATCAAGCAAGATAACTACACACAACTTTGAGATATCCTTTATATATTCCTAATTTCCTCATCTCTCTTTGTGAGATGGTCAGTAAGATTTTCCATATATCCGGAACAGGTGCTTAGTCATTCCTGTTGTTGCATATGTTAGGTGTTGATTCGATAAACACGAGTGTCTACGGAAAACCTTCACATTCAAACCGTTACTTAGACTTCAAATCGTCTCACTCTATGTTAGTTAAAGTTGGCTTAGTTAAGTGTCTAAGTAACAGGGCCAAAAAACTTACTAGTAAAACAGAAGATCTAAAACAAGAAACCAGATACATTAAAGACGCCTTAATCATCAACAATTACCCTCTTAAATTAATTGATAAGCTCCTTAGGAACTGTAAGAAAAATATCAGTAGCACAGTTATTAATAGTAGTAATAACAGTAGTAATAACAACAACAATAATGGTAATAATGATGTCGATAATGATGTTAATAATAGTAGCGGCAATACTGTGAATAGAAATTCATAACCTCCACAGTATTACCATACAAAGAAGGCACCTCAGAAACACTTTGTAGAATTCCCAATAAAGCTAGCGGAGATTAGATTGACATTTAAACCTACAAACTCACTTCGAAATAAGCTTTGTAGATTAAAAGATCCTATTGACCCGATTAAGCAGAATAACTTAGTTTACCGAATTCCTTGCAAAGAATGCGAGGTCAAATACACAGGTTAAAGTAGTTGACCAAGATCAATTAGGCTATCGGAACACAAAAACTTAGCTACGTCAAAATAGGTAGATCCTAATAAGGTGAGGAATTTTGAAAAAATGCTCAACCACAGTTATACATGCGATTACATACAACCAGATAATAGGAGTGGACAGGGTGAAAATTCTTAAAACTAACATAATAGGGTGGAGGGAGAAATTGATAACTGAATCTTTCGATAGCGTAATTAGAAGACGAAGTTTATCTGAGCAATGTGATGTATTTGAGCAATACACATTTCGAACAATCTGGTCACACATTTACTTATCAAGTCAATATATATTAAACCGAGGACTGGGAGGTGGAATAAATACAACAATTAACACAACAGGAGATTAAAATTAAGAAAGATGAGGACAAACAGGAAGTGACATAGTTGGTCCTAATCTTGGTAAGAAAACAAAGTTCACCGAGGTAGGTGTAGTGTAATAACAAACTGTTTTTGTGCACATAAAGGTGGTTTAAATTTGTGTATGGCTATGGCTTCCGCAAATCTCAGAATACGTCCCTGACTGTTTCTATATAAAACTTTGAAAGCAGTTTGAACATTAACTTTGTGACCTGTTTTTATGATATGTTTAGCTATAGATGAAGAGGGTCGTCTCCCACCCAATTATGTCACTTCCTGTTTGTCCTCATCTTTCTTAACTTTAATCTCCTATTGTGTTAATTGTTGTATTTATCCCACCTCCCAGTCCTCGGTTTAATATATATTGACTTGACAAATAAATGTGTGATCAGATTGTTCGAAATGTATTCAGCAAATACATCACATTGCTCAGACAAACTTAGTCTTCTAATTAAGCTATCGAAATTCATAAAAGGGACTAACTGTTTCAAACTAAATCTTTGTTTATCGAATCAACACCTAACATATGCAGTAACAGGAATGACTAAGCACCTGTTTCGGATATATGGAAAATCTTACTGACCATCTCACAAAAAGAGATGAGGAAATTAGGACTATATAAAGGATATCTCAAAGTTGTGTGTAGTTATCTTGCTTGATATGACTATGGACAATAAATGGTGTCCGAAATAGAAATTAAGCAGAGTGCTGAACAGTCACTAGAGTTTTAGACATTCGATTACGATTGAATATACGTATCTTTCAGTCATTTAAGTTAACCAACTTCTTATGAACTCGAGACAGAAATCATATTTTTAACCATAGATTTTATTCTTATGATTTATTTATTTTTTCCCTGAGTTCCTAGTGGAATATACGGTTTCAGTAGCACGTCTCCATTTCACTATCTTCTCCGCAGCCCTCGTAACCTGGCTTCACGAATGCCCACAAGCTTTCATTTCTTCCTTACACGATCTCCTCCATGTCGCCCTCGTCTAGGATACCTAACTCATCCTTTCCCGTTTCGCTTCCACTCAATGCCCTTGCCTGGCACGTGATGTCCATGAATGGTCTTCTGAATGTATACCCTATCCAATCCATCTCCATTTTCTTCTTCTGATTACTTGTTGGGTGATAGACTCTTAGTTGGTTTGTTCCCATGTCAGAGTTCCTTGTTGCTTATGCTTATTATTCTGGCCATCTGATCTTATCTGATCTGATTTGATCTTATCTTCAGTCTCAGTAAGGCAGGAGTGTAGGCGGCAGCTGTTGATGTGATGTATTTCTGTAGTTTGTTTGAAATGCTTTTCGTAAGGTGCCAAGTCTGTGAAACATTACATAGAAACACTGACTTGACTGACTCAGTGTTGAAAATGCGGATGTTGTTCAAGCTTTACGCTGAGTGCAGAGCAGCAGATCTCCACACTGATTATCTCAGGTTAATGAAGACCTGCCTTGCTGTCATTCAAATCTTCATCTATTCCTATTCCAACTGTACTTGATGCTGCCTAGGTGGGTAGGTAGGCAAGTCAAAGAGATAACTTGCTTCAGATTCCTCTCGTTCATGGTGATTGATGCTCATTGTTTTGATTGAATACCTTTATTACCTCTACCTCTATCTTCTCTACGTTCACCTGAAGCAAGTCCTGTCTTCACTGGTCTGCCTCACCTCCTCTGCCAATTTGTTAGTTTTCACCCGTAGATATTCCAGTTTGTGTGGCAAGATATTAGGCTTAAATCATCATCTTTGGCGAAATCCAAATCTTCTACTGGGATCTTTTCATCAGTCAAACAGCCTATGCCCATTTTCTCACACTTCCTCACAGTTGCTTGCATCATCCAGTCCAGTCCAGTTGACCATAACCAGGAAGATGATCAGTGATCTCAGGCTGCAACCTTGTCTTACTCCTTCCTGTCTTCACTTCAAAAGCATCACTGAGCTGAGCTTCTCATTGTGAATTACTTGGTGTATAGCATCGTCATATAGCATATAGCTGCTGTTGAGTGAGGTTTATAAGAGTTTGTGTCATTGGAACGGTTGTATTGAAACAGCTGCCTGCCTAATTACTACTTGGTCGACGCTGTCAAACGCCTTTTCAAAGTCGATAAAGTTGAGGCAGAGTTGAGTTGACTGCCATTCTATGCTCTGTTATATGTTGATGCTTAGTGTAGCGTTACAATTTGATCCGGACGAGGACGTCAAAGTCAGAATCGGAAAAGCAAGACAGGCCTTCATTAGCCTGAAACCAGTGTGGAGATCTTCTGCACTCAGCATGCGGAACAAGATACGGATTTTCAACACCAACGTCAAGTCAGTGCTCTTGTATGGTTGAGAGACTTGGCGCGTCACGAAAGGGATTTCCAATAAACTACAGACATTCATCAACAACTGCTTACGCTGGCTCGCTACTGAAGATCAGATGGCCAGAAAGAATAAGCAACAAGGAACTCTGGGAACGAACCAACCAAGAACCTATCACCCAACAAATATGCAGGAAGAAGTGGAGATGGATTGGGCATGCACTGAGAAGGCCGACTAGGGACATCACGCGTCAGGCCAGTTGCTCGAGTGGAATCCCCATAGGAAGCGACGAGTTGGACGTCCGTGGTGAGGGTGACATGGAGGAGGTCGTGCGAGGAGGAAATGAGAGCTTCTGGGCTGTCGTGGGACCAGGTTCAAAAGATCTCAGAGAAGAGAGGTCACTGGAGGCGTGCTACTGAAGCCCTATGTTCCACTAGGAACCCAAGGGACCAATAATAAAAATAATAATAATAATGATTGTGATTACATTGATGTGATTATGAGCAATGTTAGTGTATGTCCAAAACTTTGTCACTGTGCCGCATGCATCAAATAAACTAATCCAACATGGACTTATATGGTGTACTCATTGTCAATCATCAACAAGTTCTAATAAATGCATCAGTTCTAAAAAAAAATGCAATATATGTATATACTATTGACAATAAGAATAAAATGAAGGCATACCTGTGTTTTGCAGCATATGTTCCAGGTATTGGTGGTGATATAAGAAATTCAATAGGCTCAGATTTACTCTTATCTTGAGAAGAATGAAATGATGCATGATCTAATTTCTCAGATAACTGAGTTTTTACACTACTTGTTCTATTGAAATATGAATTACCACTTGAAGATCGACGATTAGCTAAAATATTCAAAGAAAGTTTATGCGAAACAACATATAAGGTGAAATTTCAAATAATCTAAACATATTTTTAAAAATGTTATGATCTACACTGTAGGTGAGATGAAATTAGTCAGATAGTTACTGAACTCTGTTCTACATTCGAACTAGACACATAAGAGATCATAATAATCAAGTTTCATGGAGACGGATCGATTTCCCAAAACAAAGAGATAGAACCTCAAAGGAAGAGAGAAGTACTTCAAGCTGAAAATTAGCAGAAATATAAAGTGAATAAAATGACTATAAAATGAATACAATAAGAGAGAAACAATATCAGAATACAGATCCATAAAATGATTACAAGGTGCAAAGATAATGATAGAATATATGCATGAATCAATGCCGTTTTTTATCTACTTCGAACCATATAAACTGATATCTTCAGCCATTGATTCTCTTATATTCCCAAAAAGGTTCAAACCAGTAGTTGGTGACTTCATAGGGAGGTGTGACTGATAAACCAACAAATTCCCTACAAACACTATTATGCAAAACCAAAGGATGCAACAAACAAAGAAGACAAACCGAATATCATTTAAAAAATCAACTGGAATAACTGTAGTCAACACTACACATTGGACAAAGTGGCCGCCCTCTTTGCCTTCGTCTACGTGACCGCCAATCGGCTATTAAACGCCACGACATGTCATCACTGCTTATTTCAATGCACGTGGATAACAACTATGGAGATGAATTGAATTTCGACAATGTAGAAATCTTGGATGGAGAGAGGAAACACAAAGAATATCAGGGAATTCCTAGAATCTTGACATTCAGGTCAGTCAGTCAGTCAGCAATCAACAGATGTATAGACATAGATCCAATCTATCAAACAATAAGAAAGATGATAAATAACAGACAGGTCAAAGGTGAAGCGGAGGAAGTTAGTAGGAAAATCCTTTCAGTCAGTCAATGACAAAACAATCAAAGGAAGCAATCAGTCACAGACTACTTCGTCAAGGCAAGCTACTAAAACACTTCATACTGAAGTTGGTGCTGATGATGTCGCTGTCTAGAAGGACGATAAAAACTCCACGACTAAAAAACTCAGCTTCTCAGGGAACACAATACAACGAAGATCGTCCACCTGATCTACAAATATTCTCCACTATTTGAAAATTATACGAAGGTATTTTGTCTTACTCTAGCCATTCCTAATTTCTTTCAGTCGAATGATGCTTCAATTGATATAATGTGTCCAAGAAATCCTAGAGCTTCATTGTCAATGAATTCAGTAGTCATTATTTCGTCTAGAGTAATAGTTAAGACCTACTGAAACCATTTCATTTTATGGAATTTACATAAAACCAAAATGGTAGTAAGTTCTTATTAGATAGAAATAAGATCCTAGAAGTAAGCTTTTTTATACTCATAGAAATTCAGTGTTCAGTGTTCAGAAATTCAATGTTTAAATATGATAATCTATTCCTATGGATAAGAAACAGATTACACACAGTAAACAAGATTGAAATGTGTGGGTAGATTGACCCAAGGATAACTATTTTGTCAACCGCTACAGGTCATGTATTTCCCTTTGAAACTACTTAGTCACAATGAATTTAACAAAATTATGTTTTACACTCTTCATTCAGGTATAATCAACTTGGTATTGCTATTATTTTTCACTTAGGTTCCTACTGGAACATAAGGCTTCAGTAGCACGCCTCCACTGCACTCTCTTCTTTACAGTCTTCTCTTTCAACCTGCCTCTACGACTGTCCACAACCTCTCATTTCTTCTTCACATCACCTCCTCCACGTCACCCTCACCTCGGATGCCTAACTCGTCGTTTCCCCTTTGGATTCCATTCGACGGCCAGGCCTGATACGTGATGTCCCCAATCGGCCTTCTCAGTGTATCCCTAATCCATCTCCACTTTTTTCTGCATATGTGTTGGGTGATAGGTTGTTGGTTGGTTCATTCCCAGAGTTCTTCCTTGCTTATTCTTTCTGGCCATCTGATTGATCTTCAGTATCGAGTGGGCGTGGGTGGTAGCTGTTGATGTGATGAATGACTGTAGTTTGTTGGAAATGCTTTTCGTGACGCGCCAAATTTCCGAACCATCATATAGCAGCACTGACTTGACTGAAGTTGTGTTGAAAATCCGGACGCTGTTAAAGCTCTATGCTGAGTGCAGTAGATCCCTACAGTGATTTCAGATCAATGAATGCCTGTCTTGCTGTCTTTTCGATCCTGGTTTTGAAATCCTCGTGTGTGCCAGTGCCGTCTGTAGTTGAAACGATGCTGCCTAGGTAGGTGGGTGGGTGAAAGAGACTACTTCCTTTAAATTTCTCCCGTTGATGGTGATTAGTGCTTCTTATTGGTGGTGGTGGTGGTGGTTGGATATCTTCATCATCTCTACATCTGTCTTCACTACATTGACTTGAAGTTCCATTTTCGCTGCCCAGCCTTTTTTGTCAACTTGTTAGTTTTTGCCTGTAGATCTTCGAAGTAGATACGCTAAGCGATGAATGATTTATCTAACTGTTTAATTCTAAAATATTACACAACTATGGATTTAGATAACTTGGGGAAAAACAGCAAAGAAATAATAAGAAAAACGTGGCTACGACTATTGTAGAAAACAGCAAGACGGAGACAATGGAAGGGATGTTTATTATTGATATCTTGTACAGTAGTCATCAAATATGGTATACCTTCCGCTAAGACTGTCATTTGCACAATGTGCTTCGTTTCCTCCTCTGCTTGTAACTTGATTCACTCTTGACACGCCCATATTGCCTCTTGTGTTTCTCTGAGTAGAATCTTCACCTACTGCTGGGAATTCTCTATGATTTCAAACACCCTCTCAACATTTACCACTTATATCCATTCTGATTAGCAGTGCCCAGTAAACTATAAGATAAAATTATTATTGCATCAACTGAAAAATATGTGTCATGTTGAAAATATGCAGCCTCATTCATCAAACAACCACTTATGTTTCATCCAAAACAACCAGCATGTTATAATTATCTACCCAAATTCAATTTATTTGACTGCCTTGCAAAGCATCAGTGACAATGTTTACCATGATATTGACACGTTTACCAGTTCAGAGAAAACTCCATCCAAGTTATATATATCAGTCAATAATTCTTAAATAAAATTTCAAAGCAACATGATAAATAGAATTTTAAGTGACTTTAAGGAAAAGAAACTTTATTTTTCCACTGACCTGATACATTATCTTTGGATTTATTCACTGGTTGTCTGAAAAATCTTGGATCAGCTGAACCAACTAGACGAGATCTTAAATATCTTGACTCAGCATAGCTTAATCTAGATTGTGAACTGGATCGACTTAATGATAAGACCCGTTTACTGTTCATTAGTTCTTTAAGCCATAATTCTTCTGCTTTATCGGTAGTAGACTCATGATATTCCCATTTGACAACATCAAAATTCAATGCTAATATGTTATGCTGTGTATTGACAATAAGCCTGTATTGAATGAAGTAAAAGGATTACAATAGAATAGATGCTTCCAGGATATATTGTTGAAATAATCATCTTAGCTTAAATGACAGAGCATCAGACCTCTAATCCATAGTTGTAACAAAGATTCTCTTCTTATCTACAGTGATTACTTTATATCAGTAATAACAACCTATCAAATCACGGCTATCTATGATGATCAATGATAATCAATTTGATGCTACCCATTTTGTAATCTAGAATGGTTTACATCGGGATAAGTTCATTGGATTAAGAAGTTAGTATAATTGTGATGAATGGACAGTTATGTGTCACGCATTCATATGTAAACTGGGCAAAACTATCAGCGATTGAAAAAAAAAGTTAACACTTTGTCAAAAGGTGTATATCATAGCTTATCTGAGTATAGATGATAAACTGGAAGATATCGGTTCAAGGCATCAGGTAACAACATACTAAGTTTAATGATTACTTGATGTTGTCTAAATTTTTACATCTTGTTGTGATATCTTCAGTACTATGAAGTTAATTACAAAAACGATATCTAGAAATCATTGGAAAAGAAGTGTGATATATTCTTGTGGTAGATTTATATCGTTATATATAAGTGGATTCTTGAACAATAAATAACCTTAGGCTTCATTCTTAAGGGTCTCTCGATTCCTCAAAAACAACAGAAAAGGAAGCGGGAAAAACGATAAAGGTTTATTGTCAAGTCGAACATATACAAAAAATAGCGGCCTATATACATTTCCAGATGGCCTTAATATATGTTCTAAACTTTTCTAGCTAACCTGAGCTCCCCACACAAATTATTATATCAAATTATTGATCCCTTAAGTTCCTAGTAGGACATACGGCTTCAGTAACACGTCTCCAATCCACTCTCTTCTCTGCAGTGTTCCCTTTCAACCTGGCTCCATGACTGTCCACAACCTCTCATTTCTTCCTCACACCATCTCTTCCATGTTACCCTCGCCTCCGACGCCAAAATCGTCGTTTCCCATCTGGGTCCCACTCGAGTGCCTCATGCGTGATGTCCCTGAATGGTCTTCTCAATGTATGCCCCATCCAATCCATCTCCAATTTCCCCTTCTGCATATTTGTTGAGAGATAGATTCTTGGTTGCTTCGTTTCCACAGTGAGTTCCTTGTTGTTTATTCTTTCTGGCGTTCTCATCTGATCTTCAGTAACTAGCCAGCGTAGGTACTTGTTGATGAACATCTGTAGTTTGTTGGAAGTGCTTTTCGTGACAACTATCTGAAGTATATAGAAGCACTGATTTGACATTACTGTTGAAAATCCGGAACTCGTTCTTTGTGTTGAGTGCAGTAGATCTCCACACTGATTTGAGATTAATGAAGAAAGGTCTGTCTCTCTGTTTTTCCGATCCTGGCTGTGACGTCCTCCTCTGTGGCTATGCCACCTGTAGTTGAAACGATGCTGCCTAGATAGGTGAAAGAAATTAATTCCTTTAAGTTTCTTCCGTTGATGGTGTTGGTTGGGTATCTTCATCACCTCTGTCTTCTCTACATTCACTTGAAGTCACGTCTTCGCTGTCCTGCCCTGCCTTTTCTGTTAACTTCTTAGTTTTCGCCTGTAGATCTTCAAGTTTGTGTGACAGTAGACACAAGTCATCGGCGAAATCCAAATCTTCTAGGTTCTTTTTCCCGGTCCAGCAAATCCCCCTCTTCTCGCTCCTCACTATTTGTTGCATGATCCAGTCCAGTCCACTACAATCAGGAAGATGATGGGTGATAGTAGACAGCCTGAACACACCAATTTTTCGTAAACATTTAACATGCCATGATTGTCTGTGAAAGCATTCCAGAGAATTCTAGAATTTCCTTGACAAATCTACAGAATAGCGTCACACTCTATAACAAAATGTGAAATAGACTGAAAAACAAGAAAATGATCAGCAAATTGTAGTTAAAATACTAGTTCTTTCTTTTTCAATGATATCATTTTCTAAAGTTGTACAATCGTATTCATATATATATATATATATATATATATATATATATATATATATATATATATATATATATATATATATATATATATATAATGAACACATAATGGTCTATTATAAAACAATAGGGTATAATTACATCATTAACCTAGTCCTAAAAGACTGTAATCAGGAATGGGAAGTAGTTGCGTAATAATCTCTTAGACAGTAGAAATAACGAGGAAGGTAAGGAGTTTGATAAGGTGGAAATGTTTGTTGCTTGATGAGAAATGCAAACTGGATGAATGTCTACATGTTAAACAGATGTAAAGAAGGTGAACAATGAGACAAGGGTCATAATGAAGGTGATAATAACAGTAAACTAACTAATTATAATGAAATCTAAAACGGACTGTGAAAGTGTTAAGACTTTGCATGGTAAGATATAAGATTGAATTGATGAATCGCCAGCACTTCTGCCATGGTACACAACTGTCGAAAGCGAACTCCTTTTTGAACCATTCTATTTAACTCGATAAGTGACTCTAAACGAGGATTCTGATCGAGCTGTATGTGTCCAGAGTTGACCAAATGTTCAATGTTCAATTTAATCGTTAATTGGTTTACATTCTCCTCTCAACAGCAGTATGGGATAATGTTCGGAGATAAAAATGAATCTGTGACCGACAGGGCTTTATGATGACCATGGCAAAGATAAAGGTCGAATGTATACCAGTTTACTTGCTCTTGTGGAGCTGAGTACATCGGCCGTATCGTGCGTCCGCTTGTAAAATGTGTTCGCGAACACTAACCAGCCTGGCTTGTAAAGGGAGAACGGAAATGCATCTTCAGTTCGATAACAGATCGCTTCGTGAACTCGGGCCACTTAGCTCCCTTCGAGAGCTCATTCAAAATTCTCTACAGGGTTCGATCAAACCACTCGAAGGGAGTAAAATCAAGGCATCCGTCTAAAGCTGAAGCATTAGACATCCAGAAGTTTGGAGATAAGTTTGGAAAATGAGCGCTTTATGTGGCCTAAATAACTACCTCCACAGGAGCAAGTAAATTTGTAGACACATATCGAGGTGGCCCAAAGTGGTAACTTGTCCTTAATGCACTCCAGAACCAGTTGCTGACCAGAGAAGCTGATCTGTAGCTTCAAAGAATGTCTTCTTCAGTGATCTGCACAGTCGATTCTTTAGAATCTCTGCTGCCGTATCGCCTTGAAACTAACATTCATAAGCAAGGTCTTCTTTGGAACTGTGAGTACTTCCTTCGTATTCTGTTTTAATTTCAAGTTCTTCTCAATAAATCTGGATGGTTATCCATTTTGCATGAGGATCTTCTGTAGTTTGTCTAATCCAACGTCACTCGTGCAGATTCTTCTGAACCTTGAAGATAAAGAATGGATCAGATTTTCTTTTCCTGATAAGAGACATCCAGCTATGGAAATTCAGATATTGTCCATTCCATGTAGGCTTCCTATAAACTGATCTCTGAAGGAAACTATCTGGTGTCCGTTCCAATAACTGGTCAAGAAAATGGAATTCTGAGTTCTCCACGAATTCTGATGGGAAATTGATCGATGGGTGGCAATTACTAGACTTTTTAACTACAGTCCCAATATCTGTATTCTGATCACGTATGATGAATGTATCATGCATATATCTTTTATATAGGCAAAAACTATCAGTTGTTGAATGCAGCACACTATTCTCCAGGTTCGCCATAAAGCAATCAGCCAGTAACCGTCCAAGTTGTGACCCCATAGCAACCCCATCCATTTGTCTTTATTAATCATTGTCGAATTCAAACTGAACATTGAAAGTACACTTTAGAAGCAATCCCTTTGAATAGTGCTTTGAGATACTCTCGTGAAAATCATTATCTTCGATGAAATCACATAGAAAATACATAGTTTCCGTGAGTGGGACATTTTTGAAGAGCAGGATCACATCCAGAGAAATCATTCGCTTACAAGATATATTATTATTATTATTATTTTATTATTAGTCCCTTGGGTTCCTAGTGGAACATAGGGCTTCAGTAGCACGTCTCCACTCCACTCTCTCCTCTGAAATCTTTTGAACCTGGCTCCACGACAGCCCACAAACTTTCATTTCCTCCTCACACCATCTACTCCATGTCACCCTCACCACGGACGTCCAACTCGTCGCTTCCCATGGGGATTCCACTCGAGTACCTGGCCTGACGCGTGATGTCCTCAGTCGGCCTTCTCAGTGCATGCCCAATCCATCTCCACTTCTTCCTGCATATTTGTTGGGTGATAGGTTCTTGGTTGCTTCGTTCCCAGAGTTCCTTGTTGCTTATTCTTTCTGGCCATCTGATCTTCAGTAGCGAGCCAGCGTAAGCAGTTGTTGATGAATGTCTGTAGTTTATTGGAAATCCCTTTCGTGACGCGCCAAGTCTCTCAACCATACAAGAGCACTGACTTGACGTTGGTGTTGAAAATCCGTATCTTGTTCCGCATGCTGAGTGCAGAAGATCTCCACACTGGTTTCAGGCTAATGAAGGCCTGTCTTGCTTTTCCGATTCTGACTTTGACGTCCTCGTCCGTCCCGCCTGTAGTTGAAACAGTGCTTCCTAGATAAGTGAAGGAGGTTACTTCCTTTAAGTTTCTCCCGTTGATGGTGGTTGGAGTTTGTTGTTGTTGTTGTTGATGGTGGTGGTGGTGCGGTATCTTCATCACCTGTCTTCCTATATTCACCTGAAGTCCCGTCTTAGTTGCCTCTTCTATCAACTTGTTAGTTTTTGCCTGCAGATTTTCAAGTTTATGTGACATTAGGCACAAGTCATCGGCGAAATCCAAGTCTTCTAGGTTCTTTTCTGCGGTCCAGCCAACGTATTCCCCTCTTCTCGCTCCCCACTGTTTGCTGCATGATCCAGTCCACCACAATAAGGAATATCATGGGGGATAGTAGGCAACCTTTTTTCACTCCTGTCTTCACTTCAGAAGCATCACTGAGCTTCCCATTGTGAATTACTTGGCATGTGGCATCTTCATATAGTTATTGAATGAGGCGGATAAAGG